GATTCCATCCATAGACTCCACCCACCTGTGGTCCTTGAATCAGAAAGGGTTGGACATTCTTCACATAAAATCCTGAAAAGCCATTCAACAAGCTAGCTTCTAAAATCCAAATGGCTAAAATCCAAATCATAATGGGAGGATATCATGAATTGCATCTAAAATGTATTAAGGTGTTTTCTGATTTAGGGGATCTTGCTAAAGAAAGAAAATCATCGTGGAACATGAGGAAATAGTTTACTTCAATTTGCTCATTATATGGAGCTAGAATGAGAATTACAAAAATGTCCATCTCTCCAAACCCACTTAAGTTTTTATGTCTCCAGTGGAAATTTAGAAAAGGGTGATGTAGCAATTTTGCCACAACAAGGGCATAACACAGCTGAGACCTTTATCCTGCACTATAAATTGAATAAACGATGAGGATTGCTTGTCATTGACCTAGAGGAAGGATGGGGAAGAATGAATCCATTGTTCACCCCCCAATCTGTACCTTCAGCAATGGAAAGAAAGCAAAATGAACAAGTAGGGCATGCTGCTAAAGCTGGACTTACTCAGGCTGAAGAGGGATTGTCAAGCTGCTATTTCCGTGTGCTTTGAAGGGCTTGAAAGCACTTCCTGGGGAAGGTTACAGCCAAAGGAGGTCACTGGATGCCCAGTTGGATCATCCCCTTGCCAGCAGCAGTCCAGGAGAATAAAAGGAACTTGCTAAGCAACCACCCGTCAGAACACCCTGTTCATCGGCCTGTTTAGCAAGCGCTTCCTTACTCCCACCATCCTGCTGAAAAGATTGGGTAAGGGCAGAAGATAATGTATTGGGGAAGTAGGGTTAATAATGAGCCACAATATCTGAAAGGCTATCCACACTCTTGGACCAGTCTCAAAATCTAGCTTTCCAACATAGCCATGATTAAACCACAAATTCTAAAACTAAAACTTGCTGCAGAGTTCCTTTTCGATTTCAACAGTATGCGCTAGTGAGGTGTTCTTGACACAGCTGTGCTGACTTTTAGTGAACTCAACATCCTTTTTATGGTATGGATACTTCAATTACTTTATAATCTGTTGTAAAATTCTCTTGAAATCAGTGGGAGGCTAACTGGCCTCTAATTCCCCAGGATTCCTTTTCCCCATTTTTCAATATGGGGACAACCTCTTAAGGATTTCTCAAAAATAAAAGAGCAAGTTCTGACAGTGGCTTAGGATACAATCTAGTTGACCTAGACGTGGGATTTTATTTAAAGTCATTATCCTGACTATGTTTATGCCTTGATCAAGTTGGAATTTCATTCCTTCAATCAATTCTGCAATAATCAAGAACATTACATGACAAAACTGCTAAAGTTATCTGTGGAGCGGATGTTTTATATGATCAATAGCCTGGGACGGTAAGAGCAGAGCATTTTATTTTTCTAAGAAACCACACATTTGCATATGGAATTCAAGTTGACAATCTGCTTAGGAGTCATTTGCTTAAAGAATTCTATAGTCGCAGAAGATGTAAGTATGGTTGACGTAAGTCTATGAGGACTTCATTGGCCGAATATAAAACCAAAATTGTCCTAGCCTTATGGTTTAAGAGCTATGTCAACTACATGACAAGTCCTATCTCAATATAAGAATTCCAGAATACACTGTCAGTCTCATACCGAGTGTAGTCACCAATAGCACTAATTCTTCTTTGAGAAGTTAGCTGGTGAAGAAAATACTACTTCATCACAAAAATAATAGATAATGTGTAAAAAAAAAATCTGAAATATATCAAATAACTCAAATTTATTGCAAATTTGATTGACTTCTGTTGCTCTCAGACCTAAAAATGCTAAAAATTACTATGTTGTCAGAAGTTTTTTTTTCACAGTGTTTCTGTTCAGATGATGCCAAATGTTCATATGTTCTGTGGATCGGTTTGTAACTTCAGTGGAATGAAAATCTGTTTTATTTATGAATCAAAATTAAATAGCCACCCTCTCACTGAAGGTAATGCTAAAGAGCTCTCCTAAAAAATACAAACAGGACTCACAAATTAAATTAAAGAATACATTACTGAATAAACATTTTGTGCTGCAACTGAGACATAAACTTGTTTATAAACCATGCTACTATATTTATATGACATGGCAAACTAAAACCCAACACACCACATTGCATCTTATCATTATTATGGTAGGCTAGCTATTGGGACTTTTCTCCTTGAAAAAATATTCTGGTTTTATTTCACTGTTTCTGCTTTTCCAACCTTTTACCTTCTTGAAAATGTGACAATAAGTTTGGTTATAAAGAATGCAGATCCTTTTATTGATTTTTTATTTATTTATATACAATTACAGGTACTGTATTTCTTTTTAGATTTTATTATTTAAAAAAAAAAACCAGCAAATTTGTGGAAAACCCTTAAAGCTATCACTAGCTACAGCAACTCTCCTTCCCATGCTGAAGGGAATCGACAACTGGCAGATGACCTGAATGTGTTTTACTGTAGGTTTGAGAGGAAACCACTGTCAATTATCACCACTCTCTCCATCTCAGATACACCAACAACAGCCAAGTCTCCTACAACTGACTCCATCCTGCTTGGCCTCCCACCTCTGGTGATCACAGAAAAAGCTGTGCAAGATCTATTTTGCAGACAAAAGCCTAGAAAAGTACCAGGTCCAGATAAGGTAACCCCTTCTTGCTTGAAAGTTTGCGCTGACCAATTGGCCCCCATCTTCACCTGCATCTTTAATAAACCTCTAGAGCTGTGTTATGTCCCATCTTGCTTCAAATGCTCTACTGTAATCCCAGTGCCTAAGAAACCCTTCCTCAAGGAGCTGAACGACTACAGACCAGTTGCTCTGACACCCATAGTTATGAAAACCTTTGAAAGGCTAGTGCTGGCCCACCAGAAAACCATCACTGATCCACTATTAGACCCATTACAATTTGCCTACTGAGCAAATAGATCGGCAGATGATGCTGTTAATGTGGTACTGCACTACATCTTACACCATCTTGAATCTCCAAGGACCTAAGCAAGTATCCTTTTTGTAGACTTCAGCTCGGCATTCAATACCATCATTCCAGATATTCTTCTTACTAAACTGACTCAGCTAGCTTTGCCTGACCACATTTGTAAGTGGATCATAAGCTATCTAACAGATAGGAAGCAGCGGTTGAAGCTAGGCAAAATCACACCAGATACATGTACAATTAGCACAAGGGCCCCCAGGGCTATGTGCTCTCTCGACTACTCTTTTCTCTTTATACCAACAAGTGCATCTAAAAGGATCCCTATTAAAGTACTGAAGTTTGCAGATGATACAATGGTGATTGGTCTCATTCGAGATGACGAATCTGTATACAGATGGGAAGTTGAACAACTGACCCTGTGTTACAGTTGGAACAATCTTGAACATGCTCAAAACTGTAGAGATGATAGTAGATTTTAGGAGAAGCCCTCCTATTGTACCATCTTTTACAATACTAGACAACACTGTATCGACAGAGTTTCAAGGTTCTATAATATCTCAGGACTTAAAATGGACACCTAACATCACAAACGTCATCAAAAAAAGCACAACAAATAATGTTTTTCCTGTACCAACTCAGAAAGCTCAGATTGCCCAAGGAACTGGTACAGTTCTACAAAGGAACCTCTATAACTGTCTGGTTTGGCAAAGCAACCAAACAAGACAGACACAGACTTCAACAATTAGGATTGCAGAAAAAATAATTTCAACCAGCCTGCCTTCCATTGATGACTGTATAATGCATAAGCTAGGAAGAGGGCTGTGAAAATATCTACAGACTCCTCACATCTTGGACACAAACTATTTCAACTTCTTCCCTCAAGATGACACTATAGAGCACAGGTGTCAAACTGCTGGCCCCTGGGCCAGATGCATCATGGCGAAACCGCACCACCCCATTGCCGGCAACAGAAAAGTCATGATACGTCGCAACATGTCACGTGATGTGACGAGTTTGACACCCCTGCTATAGGGCATTGCATGCCAAAACAACCAGACACAAAGACAGTCCCCCTCCCCCAGTGCTATCACTCTATTAAACAAATAATTCCCACAACATTGTCGATACCCTGGATGTCAAACCTCCTGGGAGGGTTGTATTACTTATTAACCTGTCATCTGTCCTATTACCCATTTCCTTATATTCTTATGACTATAACTTTGTTGTTGTATTTCATAATTTATATTTATTGCTTAGTATCCTATGACTGTCACTGAGTGTTATATCTATGATTTATGATGATTGTATTTTATGATTATCACTTGTTGCTTGTATGTACACTGAGAGCTTATGCCCAGAGACAAATTCCTTATGTATGTCCAATCACACTTGGCCAATAAATAATTCTATTCTATTTTCCAAAAGAGTTTTTATGAGACCATGGAGACAATCTGTCTTCTTCCTTTATTTGTTTGCACACACACACTCCCTTTTGCTTTATTCTGCTTCAGATACTATGTCAGCTTGAGAATGATGAGTCAGGTGGTAATATGATCTGCCATATCTTAGGAAAAATGGATCCATAACAAGCACCATGTTAAGGCCAGGCACTTAACAATTTCTGAGATATTTTTTGTCCTCTTCATAGTACAAATGGTATATTACATCTTGTGTCTTTAGCTAAATTTTCTCCTGTGGTTCAGACATGCATGGCTTTTGATTTGAAATGAATGTATTATTAAAAACCTTGTTAATTTGTTACAACCAAAAGCATTTCAGGAGGAATGATGGATTTGCCTCCTCAGAAATCTATTTAGCAGCAAGGAATTGTCTTCTCAGAAACACATACAAACCCTTTATGATTTCCATATAAGAATGCCTTCACATGGGGACATCTCCAAATAGTTTTTCAAACTATCATAGTTGGCTCCTCCCCACCTCCCATAGTTTAATTAGAGGTATTATTCCACAAATTAATCTATGAGAACTTTTTCTGAGGCTGGGTAACTAGTAGCTTGTCTTTATTTTACTTTATTTCTTATCTCTGTTAGATAATGAAGAACATCCTGAAGGACCTGCTATGGAAAACTTTGTAGATGGTGCTTCTACTGTGGTGAATGGAAGGATAAAGCCTCCTGTGAAAAATGTCAAGGAAATAGCCATACTTCGTGACAGAACGAATGAGCAGCAAAAGCTTATGAGACAGCTTACAAAAATTGAGATGCGCCCGCAACCTCTTAGGGTGAGTTGATAAATGCTAGTATGAAATTAATTAGTATGAAGTAGCTTCAAGGACCTAATCATTCCATTTAAGATACGAGTCCTTCTCTGAATGGCACTGTGTAAACTGAAGGTTTTTCTAGGATTATGTCTCACCCTTTCCTAGTTTAGGGATGCTTGAGTTAAAAGATTATATATAAAATTTTACTAAAGATTTTAAGTACAATAGTAAAATCTGATATAAACTAAAAAGAAGAATAAAAGAATGAAAGATGCAAAGGAAAAAAATATAAAAAGTACAAAAAGAAAGAAAATAATAGTATAGTAAAGAAAGAAAATATATAAAGAAGTGACTTCCAACCTTCATCACAAGTATAAACTGTCAAGGCTGCTAACATCGGATGTTCTTGCTCGACAATATATGAAGAAGCAGACATGTTTTATTTAACCTGAGTATCACTTCTAGAGTTAAAGTCAGACAATGTTAGAAGGGAGGGGGGAAAGTATGTACTCGGGGAATAGTTGCCATTACAATATTTCAGTACAGTATTTCCAAGGTCAGTTGTAACCAGAGGAGATACGGGAGAGAAAGTTCACACTTCAAACTAATTGGAGAACATGATTGATGACTGTTAAATGAAGGAGTGAGTTATGCTTTGTTATGCGTGATTGGAGGAAGGAGTATTCAGTTTTTGGCTTCATTATGTATGTGCCAAAGCTATGTAGCAATAAAAGGATTCTTTAAGGTAAACAAGGCCTCAAAGTTCTTTGAAAAGCTTCTTCTTTTGGAACCATTACATCAAGCCAAAAACCACAAATTTTTAAAACCATTTAAGGGGTCCCTTACCCCAGTCACTATCCCTAAACTAAAGGGATGGACTGACAAAGATTTGGGGAAGATCTCATCATGGAAGAGGAAGAAATGCCTGAGGCCAGCACCCCCGCAGCCGCAGCTTCCCCGGGGGGGGGGGGAAGCGACAGCAGCAGCAGCTTGTCCAGGGAGGGGAGCAACAGCTAGCCAACCGGTGGAGAAGAAATTCTTGCAGATCCCCCATCTGGGAACAAGGCCCAAACCATCAGGAGAGCTGATTTGGTCATCAGACTGGGATAAGCTGAGCGGTGGCTCCGGAGGCTTCGATACAGCTCTGCCAGCAGATGAGTGGGAATCACGACAAAAGGATTCTTACATATTGCATCCCCCACCCCAGTGGACAGCTGCCCAGCTGTCTGTCACCGAAGATTCAGGTGAGTGGAAATACTCACCTGCAGCTCACAGTGGGTCAGTAGAATACTTGGCAGAAAGATTTGAAGAACTAGAAGTCAGAAGCGGAGAGCAGCTCCCATTGAGAGAGGCCCCCAGCCCCTCTCTCACAGATCAAACAGCCTTCCAGACCCTGGGGTCCCCTGCCACAGCCTCCAGCCCCACAGAGATAGAGAACCCCAGCCTGGGCCCTCTACAGCAATGGGGAATTTGGCAGTCCCCACAGATGAGTGATCAGCCATCTCTGAGCTTACATCAACTAATAGAGGCCTTGCAACAGCTTGGGGTGGTGCAGAAGCCAGGAGAGCAACAGCTGGTGGGCCCACAGATGAGGGAGGTCCAGCAACAATCCCCACTCATCCAGCAACCATGAGGGGCCTGCAGCAGCAGAGGGCGCCACCAGCCCCTGCAGTCCAACAGCAGAGAAGACCACTGCAATCCCCACTTGCACAGCCACCATTGAGAGGCCTACAGCAGCAGGGGGCACCACCAGCCTCTGCTGGCCAACAACAGAGAAGACAGCAAGACTGCAACCTTTGGAAGTGACTCAAGAAGCCACTACTACCAGTATTGCAACCACAGCAGGGTGGATGGCCACAGCCCACGAACATGCATTCCCTGGGCATGCACCAACAGCCCAGGGTGGGGCCAACTGCAACTGGGGGTGCCACTTCAACAACAGAGGGATCAGCAGCCAGGATGGGGCCAACATCAACTGGGAAGGCCACAAGCGCAGAAGGCAGCCCAACAGCCGTGGCACCCGCAGCCAGGGTGGGGCCAGCAGCAATAGCCCCAGTGGGGGTAGCAACAGCCTGTAATTGCTCCACCCTTCAGAGCAACCTTCGATGGGATCCAGAGAAGCTGATTTTTTTTCTCAACCAAGTGCGTTCTCACTTGAATCGCTGGGCCTATCTCTACCCATTGCCATGGTTGATGTTATTGCATCCAGCCTAGAGGGAGAAGCATCTGAATGGCTGAACAATTTATATAGTGAACAAGCCCGTGAACTAGAGGACTTCCACCTCTTCCTCCTGAGAGAAAGATTTGAGGACCCATCCATTGGCCTCAAAGCAGCAGAACAAATCCACAAAATAAAACAAGCCGGCAGGTCTGCCCTGGAGTACATGCAAGAGTTCTGCAAGATAGCAGGTCGAATAGAGGGGTGGCCTGAGCAATCCCTAATCCATCACTTCATTGAGGGATCAGACGATCACCTTTCTCAGGCCTGCATCTATCGAGCAGTACCTGATCAGCTACAAGAGTGGTACCAGACAGTGGTGAAGCTAGACGTTAAGCTCACTCGCTATAAAAAGCCTCCCTCACCTGAAATTGAGCCGAAACCAGAATGACCCAGATGACAACCACCCCCCTGGAAACCCCCAACAGCTACGTCTGCTGAAAGACCCAGGCCACCTGCAGGCCTGCCAATCATGTGCTTCCGATGCGGACAGCAGGGACATCGAGCAGCAAACTGCCCAATTCCCTACCCTCAATAGCAGAGCAGACTGAGGCCTGCAGCAAAGAAGAAACCTGATCAGCAACTAGCGAGAGGAAAATCCAACTGGATCACACAGGAACTGGTTTCCCAAGTCACATTCTCCCCACAGGAGAATGCCGAGACTAAGGCTGGATCCTTTCCCACTCTATCCTCTCTTGACAGCGATGACGAAGGAGAGAATGACCCAATGGTGAGTCGACAAATCCTGCCTTTTTCACTGGCCACCAAATTTATAATCCCTAAATCGGGGGTACAAATGAACTTAAACATGCTAATTGATTCTGGATGCACCCAATGTATTATTAGCTTACCCTTTGCCATGAAATTGGGTATACGAGCTCAGTTAATAGCTATGGACGTTATAGTAGACCTACCTGAAAGTAGAGGAAATACTGTCATCTGGATTGTGATAGACCTGTTCTCGAAGCAGGCTCATTTCATCACCTGCAAGGACTCCCATCTGCCCAACGACTGACCAAATTGTTCCTGAACCATATCTACCAGCTGCATGGCACCCCTAAGCAAATAATTTCGGACAGGGGGGTGCAGTTCACAGCAAAGTTTTGGAGGAGTTTTCTTAAATTAATTGGATTATCTCAAGGTTTATCATCTGCTTTTCATCCGGCCACCAATAGGGCTGCAGAATCTGCTAACAAAATGGTGGAGCAATTTCTTAGATGCTATGTTTCTTACCAGCAGACGAATTAGACTGACCTCCTCCCTTTTGCAGAGGTGGTGTACAATAATTATGTGCACAACAGCACCGACTACACATCTTTCAGAGTGGCCACAGGAAAAGAGTTCAGCCCAATACCTGAATACCCTCAGGTGCCCTCCACTTCCCAGACACTTGACCAATGGGTGAAAAGGTGGGAAGAAGTTTGGAGAACCACAAAAACTGCTTTAAAAAAGACTTTTGAAACCTATAAAAAGCAGGCTGATAGAAAGAAGGCTCCCCAAAGAACATTCCAAGTTGGGGAAAAGGTTTATTTGTCAACTAAATATTTACGCCTCAAATTGCCCAGCAAGAAATTGGGACCAAAATTTGTGGGGCCTTTCCCCATAGTAAGGATCATCAATCCAGTCACTGTAGAACTAAAACTCCCTAGACATTTAGGGAGAATTCACCCAGTTTTCAATTGCAGCTTGTTGAAACCTTATCGGGGCTCCACTTTAAGACCTCCCCCAAAGAAGGCACCTGGGCCCCTCATAGTTGCGGGACAGACCTACTATGAAGTGAAACGTATTCTTGACTCTAGAATTGTTAAAGGGAAATTGCAGCACCTAGTACAATGGAAGGGATACCTGTTGTCTGAAGCCACCTGGGTGAAATCCAGTGAGGTGAAAGCTGACAGACTCATCAAAAGGTTTCATGTGAAACACTCCAACAAACCAAAAAATAATCCTTAACATATGCTTTTGTTTACATTGCAGGATCTGTCCTTTTTGTAAGGGGGCCGGATGTCAAGGCTGCTAACATCGGACGTTCTTGCTTGACAATATATGAAGAAGCAGACATGTTTTATTTAACCTGAGTATCACTTCTAGAGTTAAAGTCAGACAATGTTAGAAGGGAGGGGGGAAAGTATGTACTCGGGGAATAGTTACCAATACAATATTTCAATACAGTATTTCCAAGATCAGTTGTAACCAGAGGAGATACGGGAGGGAAAGTTCACACTTCAAACTAATTGGAGAACGTGATTGATGACTGTTAAATGAAGGAGTGAGTTATGCTTTGTTACAGGTGATTGGGGGAAGGAGTATTCCATTTTTGGCTTCATTATGTACGTGCCGAAGCTATGTAGCAATAAAAAGATTCTTTAAGATAAACAAGGCCTCAAAGTTCTTTGAAAAGCTTCTTCTTTCGGAACCATGACATAAATAATTTTAGTACCTCTTCGCCCTTTCTGTTTACAGCCAGTGATCATTTCATTCCATATCTTATCTATAAACAAATCCATAATTTTTTTTTCAGTTCTGATGCCAGGAGGAAGTCCATTGACATTTACTATAAATAATAACATGTTTTATTTTAACCCTGATCAATTAAGCCAGCTTTATAATCCCTTCTTTTACTTCTAGTGATCTAAAAGTTTAATCCATTAAAATAATGTCATAGAATTTTATTTCTTATCATTTTTTTCTCACAAGATATTTCCAAGCTTTAATAAGTTTCTTTTGTAAATCCAACATAAAAATAAAAAAATTATCCAGGTCACTGTTTTGGTTTATGATTTGTATTATCCTTTTAATTTTTGAAACATCACATTTCTTTTGTGTATGCAATGAGATAACCTTTTCTATGTCATTCTCATAGCCTGTCATTTGTAGATCCATTTTTGATGCCATCTCTGTCCTTAGAAGCAAACATCACTATTAACATTGTTGATACTAAATTCTAATTGCATTTTTCAAAAATATCCTTCAGTATTTGAAAATCTTACTCCAAATTTATCTATATCCTTAATCCATTTATAACTTTCTAGAATCACAGTGGTGTTTAGCCTTTTGCCATTTATTTTAATTTTTAAAAATTCTTAAATTTATTAATTATTGTTTCTTTCATTAAAGATATAAGGCAAACTCATCCAGTATTTTCAGATTTATCAATCCAAAAGTCTCTAGTAGTTTAAAAATAGTTAATTACCAATTTCTGAACATGAATAAAAAAGGGAGATTGTGAACTTACTGTCTTTTGAAAGGTAACAACTGCAACTGTGAGCTAGATGGCTATTTCGGTCACTTCCGAGTGCTCAAAACCCACCATGGACCACTGACCTGCAGTCTCCTTGAGGAGCAACTGTTCATAGGGCATATGGACAATCTCTTGACCTTTCCTTGTGTTCACACTTACAGCCCTTGCAGCATCCCCATAGTCACGTGATCAAAATTTGGATACTTGGCAACTGGTTCATATTTATGATGGTGGGGTCATGTAACCAATGGGGAAGCCAGATTCACTTAACAACCATGTTACCAATTTAACCACTGCAGTGATTCACTTAACAACTGTAGCAAGAAGTAACCAGATCTTTACAACTATTTTCACTTAACAGTTGTCTGGTTTAGCAAGAGAAATGTTGGACTCAATTGTGATTAGGCTAAAAAGTAATTTAGTTGGTAGTGGCATATGATGGCAACAATAGAATGAAGTAGTGGTGTTGAATTGGGTGGATAAAGTGATAACTAACTTCTAAGTGAGAGTGTTTTGTTGTGCAATCAGCCTACCACTTCACAGAATTTTATGGGGCAGGCAGAGGACCAGGTGATTTTAGTCTTTTGGAAAGCTGTGAAGATCTGGTATTTTCACAGGCATTGAGTCAGCATGGGAGTGAGCCCAGCCAATATAGGGGTGTTATGGCAGTGTCACGGGAAATGTGATGTTCCCTTGGACCACAGAACTCTAGAATTCTATGGACCCACATAACGCCTACTGGTTATTGAGATTTTTTGCAGAAGGCGATGAATTAAGTGGATGCTAACAAGGTATCTTAAGTGATGCTAATCGAGCAAGGCACTTCTGTTTTATCTATTTATTCCTTTACTGTTAAAGAGAGCCTTAATATACACATGCTCTGCAAATTTAATATACTTTGTAGCTCAGCAAAAAAATTATCAGAAACTACAATAGGTCTCTCAATTTACCTTAATTAAATAGGGGGGCAAATTTTAAATTGGAACTTAGAGAAGACAGCCAGGGAAAAAGAGAAAATTATACTTAACAAATCAGAACAGAACATTCCTTTCCATAAATTTGAAGAATTTTGGCATGGCCCAGGAGGATTTTGGTATACAGTTGTCAATCAGGATTAACAACTGTATGGTGTAATGTACTATAAAAGGATTATTTCTAGTTGTAGTTTTCTCATTCAGTCTTTGATCTTTTCCCCTCAGGTAAAATTGATACCAGCTAGCTGCCCTTTAAACCATCCCTCTTGGTTTGCTATACTAGTAATATATGAAGTTTTCCCCTCTATTACTCTGTCCTTCATAGGGCCATATTTAGGCTGGTCTAATTGGCTTCACTGTTTTCTAACTGGCCCAAATCCAGGCAGAGTCTGAGTAGCTGAAGACTATTCAGGATGTTTCTTGGACAGAAACTTTCAGGCTCTGAAATTGGTTTTCACAGTCTCTTGAAAGCTTTTAAGGCCTCTGTGTGTGTGAGTTAAAAACTTGGCATGTGGTGCTTTTATATTCTTGGAAGTTCAATCAAGATGGATTGAAGAATGAGCACTGATAAAACAGGCATACTCTGATTATAATTTATTAAAGTGATAGTGGTGGAGCCTTTGCTATATAAAAACCATCTCCTTGCTACCTAAAGAAAAAAGAATCATGGCAAAGTATTTTCAGGTGATCATGGGAGGTTAAGTAGTTAATTATTACTCAAATTTAAATATTCATCCATCTAACCAGTGAAACTCTGGGTGAAGAACAGAGATAAAAATATAATACAGATGGTTTTTTTTAAAGTGACAACCAGCACATTGAATTGCACCCAGAAACCTACCGAGAGCAATTGTACTATCTGTGGTAGCATTATTACATGATAACAACAACAACAACAACAACAACAATAATGTTGGAAGGTACCTTGGAGGTCATCTAGCCCAACCCCCTGCTCAGGCAGGAAACCCTATACCATTTCAGACAAATGGCTGTCCAGTCTCTTCTTAAAGACTTCCAGTATTGGAGCACTCACAGCTTCTGGAGTCAGGTTGTTCCACTGGTTAATTGTTCTAACTGTCAGAAAAAAATCTCTTTAGTTCTAGGTTGCTTCTCTCTTTGGTTGGTTTCCATCTGTTGCTTCTTGTCCTGCCTTCAGGTACTTTGGAGAATAGCTTGACTCCCTCTTCTTTGTGGCAACCCCTGAAATATTGGAACACTGCTATCATGCCCCCCCCATCCTTCTCTTCATTAAACTAGACATACCCAATTCCAGCAACTGTTCCTTATATGTTTTAGTCTCCAGTCCCCTAATCATCTTTGTTGCTCATTTCTGTACTCTTTCTAGAGTCTCAACATCTTTTTTATATTGTGGTGACCAAAACTGGATGCAATATTCTAAGTGTGGCCTTACCAAGGCATTGTAAAGTTGTATTTACACTTCATGTGATCTTGATTCTATCCCTCTGTTAATGCAGCCTAGCACTGTGTTGGCTTTTTTGGCAGCTGCAGTACACTGCTGGCTCATATTTAAGTGATTGTCCAGTAGGACTCCGAGATCTCTCTCATAGTTACTACTATTGAGCAAGGTACCTCCTATACTGTACTTGTGCATTTGGTTTTTCTTGCCTAAATGTAGAATCTTACTTTTTTCACAATTGAATTTCATTTTGTTAGATAGCACCTAATGTTCAAGTCTGTCAAGATCCTCCTGTATCTTAAGCCTGTCTTCTGGAATGTTGGCTATTCCTGCCAGCTTGCTGTCATCTGCAAATTTGATGAGCTCCCCATCTATCCCCTCATGCCATAGCCTGATTGGTTTTAGAGAAAGACTACCAGTGAAATACATCCCACAGGACATTGTATTAAGGAAGCTTATATTAAATGCAAATAGCTATGATAGTATATTTTTCTGAGGGGGAGGCAGAGATTGATCACATTTTGAAATTATATCTATATTATTAGATTCAAATCTATAAAGTTATGTTAAGCAAACATCAACACCATTTCCATAGCAATCCATATGGCTCGTGAGGGTGTTCCATAAGTATTTGAAACTGGTTTTACTCTCAGGTCTGGCAGTTGGATGATTGTGAATCCTAGCCAGTACATGGATTTTTATGGATGTTCATGAACTTTTCCTTTGGTTTTTATAGTTCACTTCTTTTAATATATAAACTGCAGAGAGTTTCTTGGAGTTTGGCAGCTTCTAAATTCTAATACAAATTCAAAAATAATAATACAAACTTAGCAAACACATGACAGATCTTGACATAGCTATCTCAGAAAAGCTAAAAGCAGTTGTTCTCTCTTTCTTAAAAAAAACCCCAGAACTTGAACTTTTCTGTTCTCTTTTCTCTTTCTGCACTGTTGGTGCATTGCAGACACCCTGTCAACAGGAATTGGACCAGGTTTTGGAACGTATATCAACCATGCGCCTGCCAGATGAACGTGGTCCGTTGGAGCATCTTTATTCCCTGAATATCCCAAATTGTGATAAGCAAGGCCTTTACAATCTCAAACAGGTAAGAAGAGTACTTGGGAGATTTCGGAAAATATAGTAAAAGGATCAGTGCATAGCTCCACTCTAAGCAGATTCATGTAAAACTGAACATAAGACCATGCAGTGGTGTACTGTTCAGTTGTTATTAGTATATTGATAAACAATTATTTTATATCGAAAGAATATATTATAGGCATTCAAGAGAAAATCACGGAAGAGGGGATGTTTTCCCACTCCTATTGTTTTCCATATCCCCAATGGGCATAAAATGCCTACTTTCCTTTAAATATTTTAATTTTATGCCCATTGTAGATGTGGTAAACTATCTCTGGAGCATGGGAAAGAGGTTTTCCTGCTTCTATGTAATTAGTGAGTTGCCCAGATAAGAGTCTACCTATTATCTCTGTCTGTAAGTCCCTCTTCGTGTTTTTATTGTCTTTAAAACAACTTTATATCATAAATATTAAGAGCAAGAAGCAAGCTTTAAAAAAATGAGTGGAATTAATTAATTTTAAAAATGGCAAAAAGAAATCCTGTGTAAAACTCAGAATTGTTGATATTCCACATCTTTGACTATCTCCATGCTCATTTGGGCTTCTTGGAGAACAGAATTCCACAATATACAGACTTGCTAGACACCTTGCTATATCTCTATATCCAGAAGGAAAAGAACTATATTATGTCAAATGTTTACTTTTCTCATAAAATTACTGGGGATATTGATACATCAAAATGGTGAGTTTGTAAAGGAACAGATGTTCTAGTCACTAGACAGGAACCATGTCCTAATTTTAGTTGCTGGCATGAACTATATTTCTGGAGGTTATTCAAAAATACATACCGTAAATGCCGGCGTATAAGGCGACTTCCGTGAGCGCTGAAATCGGCGCCAAAGACGGGGGTCGTCTTATATGCCGAGTCGTCTTATACACCGGAAATACTGGTAGTTTCCGGCGTATAAGACGACATTCTAGGAATGTGGCCCGGCTATAAAAACGGGGGTCGTCTTATACGCCGGGTCGCCTTGTACGCCGGCATTTACGGTACTCTGTTTTCTATAAAGTGTACTTAAGGATCCTAGGGAAAACATCAGCTCTTTGTCAAAAGATCTCTAGGCTCTTGAATTTGAATGCCAAATTTCCTGAGAAAATAAAATTTCCAGATTAAGTCCTAGAGCAAAGGTTCCCAACCTCAGGCTGCAGCGTTAGGAACCAGGCTGCACAACTGGCAGGTGACTGCACACACACCTGCAGCTCTCCCCCTCCCTGCTGTCTGCCAGGCCAGAAAGGGTGAGGACCACTGCCCTAGAGCAGGGGTGGCAAACCTATGGCACGTGTGCCAGAGGTGGCACTCAGAGCCCTCTCTGTGGGCACATGCACTGCCGCCAGTAGCTCGTGCAGGTCCATTAGGCCACCAGAGCGGCATGAGGCAGGACCAAGGTGCGTCAGGTGCATGAGGGGAACAGGCTCCATGCGTGGGCCAAGGGCAAGATCTGCGAGGGAGCCAAGATGACCAGCAGTGACCTGGTCTCCAACTGCAAGCAAAAATAGATGGGTCAGAGTAGGCGCATCTGGCGGTCTGCATCACGTGCCTCCCCCCTCCCCTACTCCGCCTGCTGCTGGAGGGCTGGGCCTATATTGGCAGCAGACTGCAGAGCCCCAGAGTGTGCCGGTTGAGAGACCGGCAGGCTGTGGCTGCTGGTGGACACCATTGGCCCCCATGCACTTGCTGGCCTCTGTGTGCGGGGGCTGATGGTGTCAGGCAATCCTGCCCGGCACCCACAGGCGTCCCTCCCACGAGCAACATCAAGGTGGCCATGCCCACCACAGTTATGCCCACCCAGTGGGCCATGCCCCTCCCCTTCCCCCCAAGGGCATTACAATGCTGATGTGGCCCTGGCACTTCGCAATAAATAAGTGGGTTTTGGATTGCGGTTTGGGCACTCAGTCTCTAAAAGGTTCACCATCACTGCCCTAGAGGAATAAAGGATGGAGTCCATGTCCACAAGGTTTATTCGCAGAATCATAGGGCAAGAAGCTTTTTCTCATTTGAGATATCCTAAGTGAGCCCATTTGCCATTGTTTAAAGATACATCAATAATCCATCCAATTTTCCCTTTTTAAAACACATTTTCTTTTCTTAGAACCTCCTGCTAGACAGAGTATGAATATTGATGTAGCGTGTGGTTGCTTTGATGCAACTTTCTTCTTTGTAATGCCTTCAGAGATCTCGTTATTTTGGACGGCCCCTCCACCTGTAGCTGTGGACAATGTCCTTTCAATTGATTAGTGCCCTGAAGGAACTATTATGTGCTCGTTTTATATCAGATCAGATTACAGGCAGATACATGTGGACTTGGACAATCTACTTGATACTGCAAAATAAAATAAGCATTGCTAGAGAGTTTGACTCATATTTAAGTTAGAAATACAAAAAAGTGCAGACTGTATGGGCAAGAAGAAGAATTATGTGACTGGCTGCTTTGCTCATTTGTTTCCCATTGGCAATACATTTTCTATTTGGGAGGTGAGATTAATACTGGATGTAGATTCAAATAAATTTGTAATCAAGCCACTCAGAATAATTTGAACAAATCTTTGATGATTCACTCCTCCAATCGTTAAATCAGAATGGCAGGGTGTATTTACAGTGTTCTGCTCGTTGAGCCAAACAAAAATGCCCGTTTTGCATTATTAGCTTGGGAAGGCTCTAACAATTTGTTTATGGATTAAGTAATTAAGCCCGCACTATGGATTTTCTTTTATGTTCTCAAATGTGCCATACTAATGACATATTTGTGTCACATTAGATTGTTCCAACCAATGCATGGCAGAGGTTGAAGATAAAGATTACTGAAAAAGACAGTAACTCTCATTAATTTACTGTATGAGGCCAAGATTTATTGAATTGACTGAAATTATACTGTATGCTAAGCCATAAAAGTTAATTTCCATACAGTAATGCTTGGTTCACATAACAAACTAAGCCATTGTCTGAGAATGGCTTGGTGCACAATATAGACATAAAAAATTCATTGTCCCCCCCCCCAAAAATCTGCTTTCCTATCCCTTTCCTTCCTTTGTAGTTGCTTTGTATAAGCTTAAAAATTACCCATGATGAAATATATTGAGTGTTGCAAAATCCTGTGGGAATTCATAGTTCTCATTGAAAGTGAAATCTACTATTCCAATTTTACTTCATGCTACAAAACATGACATTCTGGTTTATCTGCTGTTGCTATATAGTTTAAATGAAATACAAGAAAGCAGTTTCTAACTGATAAAACTAGAATTTCTTCAGTATCTCTTCCCCAATTACATGTGATAGATTTTGTGGTATATAATTTAAAAAGGAAGTATCTAATTTGTAAATTTGGCATGCTGGTGTTTTATTATCAAATTGTTAATCTCAGACAATATGACTGCAAGTAAGTAATTTGATCCTCCAAAGCTTGTAATAAATCAGCGTTTTCCTGCTTGATGTTCTAGTCCAGGGGTAGGCAACCTTGGCTCTTTTATGACTTGTGGACTTCACCTCCCAGAATTCCTGAGTCAGCATGGCTGGTTCAGGAATTCTGGGTATTGAAGTCCACAGGTCATAAAAGAGCCACGAATGCCTACCTCTGTTCTAGTCTATAGAATTGGCTTTAAACATCCTAAGAAAATGGAATGGTTTGAATAGGTTTCACTATTCAGCAGATATTATAGTTGAATAATAAATCCTGGTGACTTTGGAAGACTGAGCAATCATTTGCCATGACCATAGTTGACCATGTCAACTGTAGAAGGGTCTATTTAGCCAACTGAATTGTCAATTCTTCTGCTTCCCCTCTCTGTTTTTAGTGCAAAATGTCAGTGAATGGCCAGCGAGGAGAATGTTGGTGTGTTAATCCCAATACTGGGAAAACCATCCTGGGGTCACCTACCATCCGTGGAGATCCTGAATGCCACCTCTTCTATACTGGCCAAGAGCAGGAAGATAGGGGAATCCCAGCCTTTCAAGTGCAATAGATGGACACATTCCTACTCGCTGTTGTGTGGCTTGGCCTATTCTCAGTGCTGGATTTTACATGGGTTTTAATGCATCTTGATTTTTTTTTCTTCGTATTGATATTCCAGCAAATACCCAGAGATTTTTTTGTGGGGGGTGGGGGTGGGGTGGGAAATCTGGGCTGTAAATTTATCTCTGTTGCTTGCACCATTGAGAACATACAATAAAGGTGGTGGATAGAAAGGTTTGGTATCTCAGGCTTTCCCTTCTCCTGCTTCTAACTCTACCCAAATGCTTCTAAATCACTTTTACTCTTGCCAGAGGAGCAAAGAAACCAAGTTCAGATTAAAGAGTTAACTTGACCTCTTCACCCACATGTGCTCCTGCTCCGACCAGGCTGGATGAGAGAGTCTTTACGCTAATTCTTTCTCACCACCCAAGCCAAAGACCAAAGAATGTAAATACTACATTGTGCCTGCTACACAGAGCCCTGCAGTCTGACCATGTTGGTCCCATTTGATTATTAGGTGTGTTATAACTCAAGGACTAAAGAGAATCTTTGCTTAGGGTCAATATTTCTTGGAAGGCATGGCCAGCAAGGAGCTACACCATGCCACCATGCTGTCCTAGAAGGCACTGCACTTAATATAAGGTTTACAAAAGTGCAAATCCCTGCTACCACCCCACCTCCGCCCCCAGCCATTAAATGTTAAAGCATCAATGTGTAGCCTTATTCACTGAGTATTCAGTGCCACGAATTATTATTCAGCATCCTGCTTCCTCTTAGATAAGACTTCATAACCCGTAAGAAGCAAAAACCCATTTAAAACCCATGAGTAGACCAGTCATTCTCCCTACCCCAAATGACGTAGGTCCTAGATGAGCAGTGCCTATGTCTCTTTAAGTAAATGACACTAAATATAGTGCTTTGTAAACCTTGAAAAGTGGACAGATTATATGTATATGTTCATTGATATGCATACAAGCCTGTATAGAATAATCAAGTCTGGGAGTTAGGAGAGATATGGAGTTGAACTTTCAGTTCTTATTAATGAAGTTTCTTGGATAACCATTTCACCCTCTTGAGTTTGATTTTGCTTCTGGGTGGATCATGGAAATATTGAAAAAAATGAGAAGCAGTTGCATGTATTATGTCTTCTTGTATTATATATGCCAATTTATATTTACTGAACAGTTGCTATTAGTGTAATTGTTGAAGACAGGTTTTGTGTGTGTTCCTTTTTTTAAAAAAAATGCCATATATATTGGAAGAGAAAAAATGAAACATTTTCATCTTTTTTCTGTACGAACACAGCAGAAAGGTGACAGTAGAAGATGACTGGGCTTGTCTCTGGTTGAAATAACAAGAGTTCTCCTTTGGTCAGTTTGCCATTTCACTGCATCCTTTTTACACAACTAACTCTTGTTGTTCTGTCATGGTTGATGCCTTGAAAGAATCTCCTTCCTTCTCTACCTGCCTCTCCTCCCAAAATTGCAGCACTCTATGGCAGTTCATTGTTTGAAACATACTTTTGCATTTCCATAATCTCTGTGAAAATGAGGGGACAAATTGTGAGTTACTGAGAATGTCAATACCTCAGACCCCTAGGCAGGTAGATAGATATACACACCTGCTTCAAGAGAGAATATAAAAAAAAAATCAATGTTTCATGTTGCAAGACAGAGACTGATAGATGAAATGAGTTGAAATTTAAATATTAACTTTGCTATTTAAATGTTAACCTAATTAATATTCAATTTAAATAAAACAAGTAAATATTTTTCCAGAGCAAATTATAGACAGTGGATTATTCCCAGCAGGAAACATGCTAAATAATTAATATGTTTTTGGGGATAAGAGGCTCTGTGGAGAAAAAAAGGCAATGCTGTAAGTGAATGTGATGGAGTAAATCTCAAATTGCCCTGGAGAAGTTCTCCCAGCAGGCACAGTACACAAGGAATAAAACCACTATGATAAACGATGGCACATTCTTATTCATCGCAGTGAATGAAGCCCATTATTTTCTTATCAGGCAAAATCTTGATTATTTGTGTTTTTTAAACATGTATGCTTGGTATATTCCAAACCCAAAATCATCAAACAAATATTCTTCTCATTGGGAAGAAAAGATTTGTTTCTTTTTATTTACTTTTCACTTCCAATCTAGCAGTTTATAAACTAGTATCGGTGCCTTAAAGGGGAATATCACCCGCCCCTTAAGTTTATACTCTTAACTGTAGATATTTCTTCAGGAACAAACCTAGAAATATGGTGATAAAAACACTGAAAACACTTCATGTTCTGGGAATATAAATCAACATTTCTGTTTTGTTTTATCTTTCCTGTGGGAGGCATCCAGTTTAAATACTGCCACATTTAGTAATTAATAATAATTGGTGCTATCTATTTTCTATCAATACCCATCAAAGAACAATTCAAATACTTTCCATGTAAATACTGCCATTGGAAGCTGATGCTTACAATTTATTCCTGTTTAGAAATCACAATGCTGTTTTCTTTATTTTGTTTGATTGCTAAACTGTAAGAAATTTGAAATAAATTAAATGGGATGCCGGAAAAAACATATTGTGATGGTCTGGTTATTTGTAACATGCATACCTGAATGCAGCCACCCAAGTCCTTTTCTAACGCACACAATATTCTTCCTTCTCACATGTACACATACAAGACACTTGTTTCGCCAGTTATTAGCATAAAGTACATCTGACTGTAATTTTTTGCATGGATAGAATTTCTGTATCATGTCTGCTGGCATCATTCCACAGCACACAAGAACCTTCAAACAAAATAAATTGGATTGAGCTCCAAGCCCTCAAATACTCCTGAATATCTTCAGTTTTGACACATCTTCCACCACAAACAGCACTTTGGGAAAAGTAGTACAAAGGCAGCTTATTATTATTCCTTGGAATGCTGAGTATTCTTATTTAACAGATTTAAATCCTTCCTCCAGGGCTGGCTCTAGACATTTTAGCACCCATGGCAAAATCTTATTCTGATAGCTCCTGTGATTACTGCATATTTAACCCTGAAATGGGCATGCTTATACACAGAGTGCAGTTACCACTTTTTGAGCTATAACTTTAATAAGCTGAGTCATGTGACTCATTCAGTTCCTTCCTATCAGATCTTTCTCTTTGTCAGTAATCTTATCAACTTCCTTAGTTATAATAATCATTTCTTTTTTGTGACTCACAACATCTAGTTAAGAATACTATTCATTGACCACTCAACCAACTTTATAGGTGTTTTTGAAAAGTATAGAAAGAAAAAGTTATAAAGCAACAATGAAATATTATTAAATTTTGTACTCATATTGTATACTTCACTAGGTTTTTTTTAAAATGCTGTTGCCCCCCCCCCCAAAAAAAAATTTGGTGCCATAAGCAACAGCCTGAAGTTGCTTAGCCTCAGAAATGGCCCTGTCTGCCATAATAAAAAAAGGCTTCCAGTAGCTCACAATTACAATTTATAATAACAAAACATATATTAAACCCAAAGCAATTCCTAGAATCAGATCACAAAAGCCCTTCAGAAAGGATGTTTTTAGCTTTGTCCAGAAATCATATAATGTTGGAGGCAAACCTATAGTGAGACCATACATCACACAACACACACAATTCTTTCAGACTTTGATTCCCATATGCCAAAAATGGGGAATAACCACCTAATTCTGCCTTTGACTGAAGTGTTTGGTCTAATGAGAATGATGTTCCTATGAGCAACTCAGTGCCAAGCAAGTGGGTTAAAAACAGCCATTTAATTTGTACTTAGAAGCTCCCAATAAAGGAGAATATTTGTAGCTCATAGCTGAACTACAGGGTCTTTGGTGCTGTCTGAGCTTGGCTGTTTTCTTGCAGACATTTCATTATCAAACTAGGTAACAACATCAGTACGGTACTAGTAGGGAGTGGGATTTGTTCTATTTGATTTGCTCACCTGGAAACTAACAGGAATCTCATGCTGGCCCTGCAAAGGAATAGGATATATCTAGTGACCTAGATACTTACAGGTGCTTGAGTAGGATATACTCAAGCACTAGGTCAATGTATTTTATACGAAATTAGTATTTTATACTAATTTAAACTTCCAGGTAATCTTTAATAGCAGTATCATCATGTAGCATGTGTTGCCATAGTCCAATGAGGAGGGCAGATACCTATTATATTGCAGTCAGAGAAAGGCATTCCTTGGAATTAAAGGAGGCTTCTTATTTATTTCTCTCCTTTATTATTTTTATAAATAATTCAAGAAAGCAAATATACCTAACACTCCTCCCTCCTCCTAGTTTCCCATAACATCAGCCCTGTGAGATGAGTTGGGCTCTAAATAACATTCCTCTGTATGTTCTTTATGTTTCTAAGTTCCCTAATCAAATTGACTAAAATTCTTTGCTCAGAAAGCCATTTAAAAAGTATGCATTGTTTTATCTATGTAAAAGTACCATTTCTGAATTAAAAGTATTTGTCAATAGATTACATGTACGTGTACATAGTCAAGTATTATCCAGTTCCAGTCTGGATTCATATAGGATTTATAACTTAGGGCAGAATTTTTTCCCCCCAAAATATATAATGGTATCCATTATGCTGTTGTTATTGTTTTTTTGTCACATTACAGATTTTTGTAGCAATTCACGAAAAGGCTTCAGTCTTGCAATTCTTGGGATAATAAACTAGTCATTGCTCAGGATTTGTGATATTAGCATTTGAGACTCCTAACTTAACTATTGCAAAAGCAAATCACATTGGCCACAAGTATCGATCTGCATGATCTGCTCAACAATAGATCACCCAGACAGGTTTGTTTCTATTTGGATGGTTTAGTCTTTGGGTCTTTTAATAGACTATAAGTATGCCATTGTAAGAGATTTAAAAATCTTTGATTTAAGAACCCATAATTGCATTTAAAGTTGCTATAATAGGCAGAAAGGTAATCACTGAAGGAGGAGGGTAGTCCATGTTAGGATTTATTCAAAGGGCCACTGCATTTTACTTTAAAAAGTTGTTATCTGTATATACATTAAAGCCATGCATCCCTTTTTCCATGCGGAAGGAAGCAGTGAGCAAAATCTTTAGGTCCTCTTTAATATTTTTCCAAGAAACTCCTAGTTGTAGTGTTAGAATTACACATTATATATTGTCAATATTCATGAACCCAGATGCCACACCTGAAAGTAGGGGTAAAACTATAGCGAGAGAAATGGATTTGGTAGAACTACAGCACCCACATGAGGCCAATTGTAAAACTGAAGCCTGTCATTGCAACTCAGCATTCCCTTGTATGTTCTCATGTAAAATTGATCATTATGAAAATGCTAGTATTCCATAACTACCCACAGTGTGCACTACCTACAAAAAAAATTAAGCCCATAATCCTGATATAATCAGTTTATCATCGTAACAATCATAACAGAAACATCTGCCTAGTCCTGCTTCAATCCTCAGATATATACTTTAAATGCACTATTTTTTAATTTCCAAATTAAAAATGAGAGCATGATTTTTTTTTCTGGTGGAAAGGCATGCCACTGGAGGGGAGCTGCTTCAGAAAACACTTCCTTGCTATTGTACCTCACAAGGGAAGAAGGTTTGTAGCAAGCACTCCACCGGTATTTTTTGGCTGGGCAAATAATTGGCGGATGTTGAGTGGATTATTTAGCTCCTGGCCATAATTTCCACCTTTCATTTATGTATGTAATCAGTGTTTGCTACAAAATATATCTAGGGTTTTTTCCCAATAGCAATAGCACTTATATAAGACTCCTATACCACTTCATAGACCTTTACAGCACTCACTAAGTAGTTTACAGAGTCAGTATATTGTCCCCAACAATTTGGGTCCTCATTTTACTGACCTCAGAAGGATGGAAGAATGAGTCTAGTTCTAACATTTTTATAAATTTTTATAAGACTAGCACATTGTCAAAATTAATTCATTTTTTAAAAGCTAATTTAATTTACTACTAATCTAGGCAACACTGATAGTTTTATGAAATGAACACAGCATTTCATACCTGGAAAATGCAACATTTGGAATCAAATACATAGGCATCACTGCTGTGGGAAGTGGCCATTTTCATGGGCATTAGGGGTATGCACAAAGTGGAACTTGTTTTAAGTTTTCTTTCAATTTTGGAATAAAAATGACTATTATTCCCCTCTCCCCCTAAAAACTCCCAGCATGGTAACTCTCACTGGCCTATCCACTTCCAACTTACCCAACAACATGGCTTTCCTTCTTCACCTCAATCAGCCATGTTTTTTGGCTTTTTCTTTGCTCCTTGCCTTTCAAGCAGTTCTGGCTCAGCATGCTTGTTTGGGAACGAAACTGCTGTCGTAGGTTGTGCACAGAATGTTTTGCATATCCTAATGCATATTTATTAAACACTCTTCTCTCGTGTCCATAAGTACCCTACATAGTTACATTCTTCCATCTAACCAAAATTTATGAGTAAAAACTGCCTTTCTCCAGGCTACTATTCAGCTTACCTCCTGGGTCATCACCAGGGAAGCACTTAGTGCTGATTTGGTGGTCAGTACCTTCTGTGTAGGACCAGAGGCCATGCTGCTGCTGCCATCTCTTCTTCTATTTTATAGCTTTGCTTTTGCCAGCACAGGTGGGGAATATGTTGCTCTGCCTACACTAGGGTGGCTTGGTGAAGCTATTGCTAAAATGGCAACACAAGGAGGTAATGGACACTCTTTCTCTTGCAGGCCAGGTAAATGTGTTTCTTTTGGGGGCCATGAACTGGATGATTTCAGGTAGCAGGCAGTATCCGACCTGTGGGTTGCTAATTCCTGTGCTAGATCAACAGCTGTAGCTACTATGTTAAAATGCAACGATAGGTTTAAAAAGATATTTTCTTAACAGCATTTTCTCATTAAACATCAGAAATTACCCACCAGAAATGAGTAAGCCTTGCATCCTGAAACTATCCACTGTAATGGAAACAAATGCCTTCCATCAGGGTAAGTACGTAACACTTACAATCATATTTAACAACTGGAGCATGCCTTGATCTTAGAACTGAGCTGACCATATTTGAAAATCTTCAGTAGCCAGGGACTATTTGATACCTGGTGTTTTAAGATTATTTCTATATGAAACCTAAGGATAGGGAAAGCATAGTGAAATCTGCTTGAGCATTTCTTTCCAACCCTTTTACCACCAGCAGCCACCAGAGATATTTGCATTTTTTGCTGTGTGACACATTTGCTGTTTCTGGTCTCCTTCCCTGTATTGAATCTGCATAGGTAGCCTTCATTTAATACCGACTTGCTTGCCACAGCTCTGAAAAAGTACTTACTGCATCCTCATGGTTGCATCCCGTTACATAATTGCAATTGGCTACAGGCTTGCAATTTCATCCCGGTTACATCATCACTTTTTGTAACCTTTACTGCGGGCTAGTAAGCAGAATCAATGGGGAAGTCAGCAGGCAGTTGGAAACGTTGATCTTGTTAACTATGGGATGCTGCAACTTCATGGGATTTGCCTAATGACTATTAGTATTACCAGAATTCCCATTGTAAGCCAGTATAGTCCTGCAACTTTGCAC